ATTATATTAAAGATAATACATGTTTAAAAATTAAATCTGCCAAACCCGGACCACCCTGGAATTCCTAGCATGCCTACATGAATTTTTGGTTAAAGAAATGCAAGCCCAAGATTAAGGATAGCAGAGACATTTGAGCTTGTAAATAGGATAAAAGGCTTTTGCAATTTGAAGTACCTACATAAACATCTACATAGAGAAGATTAAACAAGTCTGTTCAAGGTAAAAAGAGATATTCACCCCCCTTCCCCAACCCCTTCCCTCCCACCCACCCCCACTACGCAATACAGTTGATGATTTTCAAAAGTAGGTTGCTTCAGTTACATATAATAATTATTATTTATTAGTCCGTCTTCGAAGTCCAATCCCAAATTTCACTCCCGTTGAGAAACGTCAGTCCCACGCTGGGCTCTGTGTGTAGTAAACATCGCAGGTACCTGGATTGGAGTCCGACAAGCAGCTGTCTACTTGAACCAGTTCGATAAGGCCGACGACCACACTCAGACAGAGGAGCAGAGGTGCACAGGAGTCCCGCGGTGCCCCGACCACGCATATCCGGCTTTACCTTGAACTGAGGTAGGACTGTGGTAGTCTTGAGGGTAAGTACATACCAGATTTTACCACTTGACTGGGTATTGGTAGAATCTCCTAGCATGCTGAGGGATACATTTGCTTTGCCAAAGTGAAAGTAAGAAGAAATGAAGACACTGCCCACAATTTAAGGAGGCCAATGAAAACATCCAATTTTCTTGAGAATGACTTCTTCAGCTAATTTTGTTAAAAAAACAAAACAACACACAAACACAATGATGAATGCCCCATATTGGAACAAGTGAAAGAGGCAGGTGACCCTGCCTGGTTGGTTCCTTGTCTAGCATGGCCCACAGGTTTCCAAACGCAGGAATTGCTCAGAGCCAAAAGAAAAACTGTAAGCAGCTTCAGATTGAAAAATATGCTGAGCATCTTCTTTTAACGATGTTCTCTGATGTGTGACCTCATGGTGATAAAGCCAGACGTATCTTCACTCTGAAAAAGAAAGGAGGGAAGTGAGCAGAGACTCACGAGAGCAGGGCACTCTCTGGAGCTCTAGAAAAAGCCCCTCGTAACCCACTTTTACCATCCGTGTCATCTTCACAAAATTATGCACTATGAGAAACAAACACAGTTTCATTCTGTTTTCCAGAAACAAGTTCAACGGGTAAACTCTGATTTGGTTTTCCTGGAAGCAGAGCTATCAGGTTCATAGTGGGTTGTCTATAGAGCGAGGTTCATATTTTCAAGTTAGGGAAAATAGTCACACATGCTTTTGTGAATCATTCTGTCGAAGGAGATAGAACAGACACAGAGGTGTGATGCTAGCCTTCAAACTGAGCACCTGTGCAACCTGGGACTACCCCTCGAGCTCCCCAGTCTTGGCTCTTCGTGTGTTGTGTGCAGTAAACGCGAACCATTGCCTCCCCCTGTCCCAGCTGCCGGAAAGATGACAAACCAGGAGGTGTGTTAAAATGCTCTGTCGACGTGTCTTTTTTCTATAAATGTGTATTATATTATGAACACAGGAGAACTAACGAGTCTACACTTCTGCCCTCAGAAAACTTTCGATTGCATAATCTACCTTCTTTTTGAAAGTACCCAGGGTGGTAAAAGCTCACTGTGGTGCCATGTTTGTTGGGGTCACATACCCCTCAACATGAGGAAGGATTTCCTCTTGTCTGCCCAACTTTCATATGTTCCACTTTCAATAATTTACCATGTCGCTGTGCAAAAGGATCAAACTGCTCAAGCTTCTTTAACCTCACTTTCTAACATTTTAAGCATATTTTTACTTGATACACTCCGTCTTCAAGGGATAGAACTTGAAAGATTTTGACATTTCATAGCATGTTGCTTTTTTTTTTTTTTTTTAAAGCTTCTTGACTTTTTAACCCAAGTGGCATATTGTTAATTGTCACCACTCACCACCATGATCGCTACTCAGTCACACGTGTGCACTGGAGTGTCATGCCTTGTTTTAGATTTTCTTCCTTTACGGTTATACTTACACAAACTGCATTTCTGGAAGCCGTTCTCAAATCACTTAGAATTCTGATCCTAGACTCTCACCACACTCCCTGGTTTACTTTTTCTGAATCTAATTCTTTTCTGTCTATCTTGAGCTCAGAGGACTGATCCCAGCAAGAAAGAAACTTCCAGTGTGTCCTACAGCTGAGTGTGAGTCCCTAAAAGCCACACCCCACTACAAACTCCAGGTACTGCATCCTGTAGCCAGAAAAACAAAAGCGGCACAGACAGGGCGCTCATCAGTGTGCAACGTAAACATATCTTTCCATGCCTTATTTAAAAGTCACCTACAATATGACATTTTGAGGCAGTGCTACTTTATCTTTTTGTTTTTTTAAAAACCTTTATGTCTTTTAAAAATGTAACAGGTAAACAATGTGCTGCCAATGAACCTTAACAGGAAACAGGGCCCGAAATTTCCTCCTAAGAAAAGAGCTGTCCTCCAGCTATTTCACTCATTATTGTTGTGATTTTTAATCACAAGAGATTACAGTGAGAAAATCTAATTGTTTGCATCCCTTAAAAAACAGGGATTTGCTAAAATCCACCTAGACTTGTGTTTTTCCCTAAAATGAGCTTGCATTTCGTCACTCAGGCCCTAATTATGAGATGAATCCCGTGCCCACCCCAGAGCAGGTGACCAAGAAAGACCCTGTGAATCCACTTACAGAAAGATATCTAATCAAAGCTTATTTTATTTTTACACTGACAATTAGCTAAATGTGGGTAAATTGTCTCATGCTAACCCTAAGTCCATTATCTTGAAAACAGCCAAGCAAGTAAGTTCTTCAACTTCTTAAACTTATATACTTGTCATATAAATGGTGGGTTAATTATTGCTGGAAAAAAATTACTTTCCACTTTCACTTACAAATTCATGAGGCCACTGACGTTTTCACTGTTTTTAAGGATGCTTATTGCTGTGAAACCCAACTCTTATCATTAGATCTCTGTGAGCTCTAATTAAATAGAACATGTAATTTTATTTTTTGAAGTACAATGCAGTTATCAAAATCTTAATTTCTAAGCATGAGCATTATGCAAGAATATAGCTGATAAACGGCAAGGAAATAATTCATCCATGCATTTATTCATGCAATGACCTTTCAGCAATTTTCTTGTTTAATTCGACTCCGGTGCGCAGCCTCACTGATGACTTGGGGGAAGAAGGCTGACCAAAAAGGGAAAAAAAAGGTGTTATTACAGGAAGATTAATCTGCTCATGGAGAACTGGAAGGATGCAAGAAGGCCTAGCTAAGGAGGACCAGACACAAGATGACCACCGGCTCAGAGACAGGGGTGTGGGCGTCAGCCGTGCAGTGTTTCAAATACATTTACATGCACACATGTACACTAAAGCAAACACATGTGGATGTAACTTGGCTCCTGTTAGGTTAAAATAAACAGCTGCTTTCTAAGGATACCTCCTGTCATGTAAAGGGAGAGACCTGAGGCCTCTAGGTCCCCTCGTGGACCAGGGGACTTTGGTTCACACTGCTCAGCAGCCTGCCACCCACAGACCTGCTGGTTTACCACCGGCTGGCTTAGGAACCCTCCCCTTGACGGCTGCAGCTGATTTGGGGTGACACGTTGAGATGCTTGGAAGTATCCGAACAAATGTAAACAGGATTAGCCACCAGAAACAATCCTTTGTTGAGGTGCAAAAGAAAGGAAGCAAGGAAAAGGCTGGCAGTACCCCTCAAATTGGATCCAGATGACTCGACTTGTCCAGCCACAGCAAAAGGATTTGGATAAAATGGAGACCTAAGAAACATAAACACTCCCTGAGAATGCATGTTCTGAAAACCTAACCACGATTTTCTTCATTTCTATCTCCTTTTTCCAACGTGAGCTGGTGGCAGACTCTCTGTCCCACATGCTGGTAAGGGCCTGAGCTAGCCTTGGCAAGGCGGGGACAGGCCTGGGGAAAGACGCCTGCCACAAAATGATCTGCACGTGCGGTCACTCACACGGGCACTCCGCAGTCCAGACACAGCACTCAGACACCAAGCACCAAGAGGCGGTGCCCCAGGCTGACGCCTGCCACAGAAGCGCTGTGCCCGCCACCCACGTGACAACCACTCAGCCATCACGCCCTGGCCCTAGGAAGAAGGAAGAGAGGCAAGAGATGGAAAATACTCTTGCTGATTTGAACCCAGGAAGGAGAAAGCACCTGTGCCTTTTTATTTATTTACTTTTAAAGTGAGTTAAATTGGCTGGTTCTCTTATGCAGGGAGAACTTGCCTCTGCTCTGTCTGTGGAGCAGACTTTCTAACTTTCTATAGTTTCTGAATAAATCTCGATTTCACTTTAGGAAAAAAAAAAGTAAGTTAAGTTATCCTTCCCCCTGAAAATTAGTCTGGTTCATCCAGACTGGAAAAAAAGAAAACATTTTCTAACATTGCTAATCTGACATTCTCAACCTTTAAATACTTATGCTTCCTAAAGACGAGATTCCAGCAAAATTTGTTTATTTTATTATCTATGTTAATTTTACTAGAAGCGAAGAGCAAATTAATGTTACGGCCACTCTACTCAGAATATTCATTAAGAAGACAGACATTCTTTGACCTCATCAAGTACAACAGCAAAACAAACGAAAACACTAAGAATCATGTTGCTCATGAACACAACTGCAGAACATATACCAATCCTGCTTCTAGAGACAATGTATATAAAAAATGTAAATGCACTGATGCTTATTGAATTTGTCATATAACTACACACTGTACTACTCTGTCCCTCAGACATTACTTTGTAAAGAAATCCATTCACAGAAGTATCCATCTAGAGTTACTTGAGTAAAAAACAAAACAAAACAAAAAACCAACCAAACAAAAAACTTTTGCAGAGATGAAAGTCGTTCCAGATGACATGTCATGCAGTCTAGCCATTCCTCATCTTCTTTCTGCTGTCACTTGTGACAGATGACATTCATATGTGGGATATAGTCCCGTGTGCCAGTAATCATAACTCCCTGCAGACTAGCTATAATTCCACCCCTTTTCTCTTCCACTTAAAAGAGCAATCAGAATGCAAATGAGCAAGAGTGCTGTCAGTAAAGACCCCACCTTCAATCTGCTCGATTTCACCCCCAGAGAGAGAGAGAGAGAGAAGAAAGAAGGAAGAGAGAGAAAGAAAAAGAAAAAGAAAATCAGATTAACTTTGTTATTAGAACAAGTAGGAAAGCTGCCCTGTGATATATGGGATGAACGGCAAAACGCTGACAAGTCACAGCACCAGTGAGCCGGGCACCATTTTACAATTACATTAAAGAAAACCGAAGTGAGCATCGAGCCTGAAATGTGTCAGAAATAAATAAGGTAAATTTGGCCCACCAAATAAAACCAGGCAGCATGTTAGATATACATTCTGACTCACCATGACTATTTCTTTATGATTTCTCATGAGAATCTGGGTTTGGACTTGTGTGACTTCAGGGTCATATTTCAGTGTTCAGAATCCAGCACATACACCTGAGTCATGGCAACTGTGCCCAGGAAGGCCCTGGTTCTCTCCACAGAGAGCCTTCTGGGCTCCCTGCAGAGCACCGGGACACAGTCAGGACACCGGGCCTCACAGGCCTTTGGTGAACACCACTGTATCGCCCAAAGAGCAAATTCATCGAGTAGGTAAACATACTTTAACATTTTCAGTCATAACTGAATTAGGACTATTACAAATATTGACTTGCATAACAAAATGAAACAATTTGTTTTTTTAAAATTAAAATTTGTATTTCCAGTAGTAAACATGATTAAGAAAGAAATGAACCCTCTGGTGAGTTCAAACATACCTTTCAGGCACATCCTAGCACCCAGTTTAAACCTTTTATGTTAAACATAGAATTACAAGGGAAAATGAACTTTTCAGTTGCAGGAGAAATTCCTAGAAAAATAAACCTGATAATTTAGTATCTCCTTACTTTACTAAAAGCAAAACACTCTAAGACTACAAAAAAAAAG